TACCATGCGTGTGATTCACTTTAAGTGTACGGGTAAAGAAACCAAATTAAAAATGACATCGAATAATATATCCGTCGTTTTTATTCCTATGAACACAAGAGTGAAACTTGTTTTTTGTTTAATATCGTAGTGTGTTACATCGTGTTGAGCTGGCTCTTACATCATTATACTGGAATGCTGCATCAATTAGGGTCTTCGGAAAGCACGGTTTATTGCCCCGAGGTTATAAATAACAACATACTTTATGAACATAAACATTCGACGTTGCGTTTGTAAATCTTAATTTAAAGTAAAACATGCTATACACATGAACATTATTTACGTATTTAAAAGAGTGTAAAATTACTAAAGGTTTTTGTGAACAAGAAAATATGTTGCCGCTTTGTAATCCTCTTTCTGTTTCATGAACAACCTACGCAATTTAGTTATATCAAATCGATTTGTACAAAACATATGAAGTCCAAATAAATTATGATTAATAATTCCGTTCAATCTGTTATCGTTTGTCTTGTCTGCGTCATTGATAAGCTTCACGTTATCATTCCGATTACTACGATCAGCATTAACGCCCCCCAATGGAGGACTACGGGGGTTCTTTGAGATAAACGTGGGCAGAAGGCCTACCCTGTTCCTCCGAAAATAAAATTTCGTCTATTTACGAAACGTTTATGATGCAACTGAGGCTTAGACTTGACATTGCCTCTGATGCATAGATAACAAATTTTCTAGGATTTGATTCTAACTAAATTTTAAGAACGTTTCGAGTTTTTCCGCAGTGGGGCCTTTGGTCTAACTGAATACACCACCAAAGAGATCTTTAATGTATTTGCTTACCACACAAACGTTTTTGTAGATACTAAATATTGCACGTGTAGACGGGAGTCGGGACCAACGAATTAGACGCTTTCCAAAAAAACGGAGTAACTTAACATAATATTATATGTTCACCGATACTAAGAGAAACCTCTGCGATAGATTTAAACCTCAATAGATCAAATATGCTGACCAGAGCTTTGATTATCATAGAAAATATACATGATAATAATCTTAATGACGTTACTGTTGCCTTTTTCAGACTATAGATAAAACGATTAAAATGATATATTAAACACCATCACGCTCCGTTTGCAGTCGTTCCCTTGGAAACTAGCTTTTCTAGTTTTTCAGATATAAAGATTTTTTTAAATATATGTGCTACTCATTTTTGGAAATAGATAGTAGTTCACACAGAAAGGAAAATTTTAAAGGAAGTTTCTCGATAGGTTATTTGACAACTTTTTTAAAATATTTTGAATAATGTTGAAGTAACAGCATGTCTAGTTTCGGAGATACAGTTCGATGTTTGTGGAACTGATGCTAGTAGGTCGAAAGCGCAGATATTTATGGCACTAAGTGACGTCATACGGTAGCGAAAAACGTGTAGGCATCTGTGCAATCTTTGTTATTTGTGTGTTTATGTTTATAGCTGTTATAATGAAAGTTAAAACGTTTTATGTAACTAATTTAATGCTATTTGTATCTTAGCAAGTTTTTGTAGTATATTTTCTCTATTTTTTTAAGTTTTCTAATGTTATTTTTACTATTGATCGCTTTATATCAGGGGTGGCCAACTTGTTTAGACCCAAGATCGACTTTTCACTGACACACCCAGTACGATCTACCAATAACTTTACTTTTTAAAATAGTAATAGTTCGTACACAATTATGTAGCATTTTGATTTTATTTATATTTTTTGAATTGCCACGATCGACTGGTTGCCCACCCATGCTTTATATCGTCAATCTGAAAGCCTACCTCGGGATTCAACGAAAAAATGCAAATAAATTACAAGAACCTAACTACTTAAGATCTGAGCACAAATATGCTATGTTGCCTAGTATTTAAAGTATTTTTATCTTTGTTTGTATCAAAGTTCTATCGTAGTGCGGCGTAACGGAATGTTTTGAGAAGAAACTAACAATGTTTTTGTTATAATTGAACGTTACACCAGAGTAAACCCAACAGTTATTACAAGTACTTACTAACGTTTTGCTGATGGCAACACAAAGTTGTCGGTTTAGAGAGCTATGTCTACATTTAGTCGTAAACTTGATGGTCACGCACGTTTAACCGTTATCTCGAATGCAATCACTTTTTAAACTTCTATTAATCCACTTTGATTCAAATCTACGTTACGTTTCTAATATGATTTCCGTTTATTTATTGTTATTCAAACATCATCATCATAATTCACATGCTCTTGTCCAATTTCTTTCATTTGTTGTTTTTTTCTTTAATATTTTTTGATTAGCTGTCACACATCTTATCTGTCACACAGTTAACAGTAATCTTTGCTTGGGTCTTTCTCTTTTTTACATTCCCTATTTCCCATCCACATTTATGACGACTATAAACTTAGTCGTAAAAGGAAAGAAAGAGACGAATGTGAGAAAAAAACAGTATGAGGAATGAAGGTACGTGAAGCAGCACCAGCGAGAGAACACGTATGAAAGGAATTAAAGAAGCACCTACCTACCTATCACTCGAGTTAATAGGGGTCGTAGGAAAATAAAAACCTTTCTATTACACGCAAATCGGCTTTTCGACATCACCTGTCATCGGGTAATCTGTATTATTGAAATTCTTAAAACTTCTAATGTGAAAGTTTGTATGTTTAGATATTTATAAAAAAATATATATTATTTCATAATATATGATATTAATTTTATATTAAAATTTCATTTCGTGTCATGTTTGGTTTACTAACGTTACACTTTTGATGCAATGAAATGTGATTGCTTAAAAATAATATTGTAACCGAGGTCATAACCTCTGCTTTAGATGTTACATTGGAATGCAACGTAAGACGCTGAATGTTGGCAATTGCGTAGGGCATCTTTGAAAACGTGATATTTTGAAGATTGCTTTAATCGACATACACGTACCGAACTTGCGTGAAGTAATCGATTGTCTAACAATCAAACGATCATCGTGTAATAACGCGTTTTAAGTGTGTCAAATCGTTAGTTTTATGCTAAACGCAAATACCTACTGCGGGAAAAATAAACTTTGTCGTATGACAAATTAAACAAAAAGGCTTCAACATTTACTTAAAGTTCATACTTAACGAAGTGATGCAGTAGATCTTTGGCTTTTATCTTATTTTATTTCAAAAAAATATTTTTTATCAGCCATTGATTTAGCAAAGCTTTGTCGATTGGCCGCTGTTAAAAAAAATTTGCCATCCAAAATATTCAAAGCTCTTGCAGATTTTTTCATTGTATGTTTAGATTTTTAAACATAAAATTGGTTTATGTAATAAGACATACAAAATATATGTACACATGGTTGCACTCTCGGTTAATATAATTATAAAGTTGATTTTAAAGTACCCTCTAAACATCTTCTTTTATTAATGGCTTATCTATGCGTTTGGCACAATTCTGCCAATTTCACGTGAAAAGCCCCTCTTAACATTAAGGTTTAAATGACAGATTTGCATAACCTGACGTGACTGTATAAATATGTATATCTATGATTATCCTTTTCTTTCCATTCACCTACCTATATTTATTGATATGTAAGTACTATGTCATACAGGGCAAATACTACCGATAAATGTATCATATTTGGAAGCTATTCTACTTGTATTAACATTGTATTGTGATAAATAGAATGAGATAACAGCAGGTCTCTCTCTCTCTTATGTCACATAATTTTACTAAGACATTATCGTCGAACAAATAATAGGTCTGAGCATAACAGTTTCCGAAAGGAACGTATTAACTGTGCTTGAATTTAAAATAACCTAATTAATATCTTATTTAATTTATTATTGAAAATGTTTGTGGCCGTGACTGATGTGGCTTGTGTAAAGAGACCATGGATCTATGGCGTTCTATGTGGATGTCGAGTAAATGTCTTAGTTTTTGGACTAGTATAATTTATTTGAAATTATTAGATACGAATTTTATATGTATTTTTGTGCAAATCACGATTGGTTCAATAAAATTTAAGTCTACTGCAACCAACATTCTTGTTATTATTATTATCGTTAAGTGAATGCTAAACGCTCAAACTTGTAATAAATCGAGTGTAGCTTACAATGTAAAGTTTTTTATAAATGTTAACATAAATGAAATAGTGTTAACTGTTATGTTGCGTATAACTTGAATGCATAAAAAACAATGCATATGATTCAGTGGGCATTGAACAAGTGTACAGAGATTATTATTTTCGGTAGAGTACCTATGGGTAATTAACTCGAGCCATTGCAGCGGTTCTGTGTTATTTAATGATTCTGCAGTCGCTTTGTGTTTTTAATTTCTTGACAAACGGCGTTGTTTTCGATCCATTGCACCATTAACTCAACAATAGCATCAAATTCGTACTCGTGCATGACACATAATAATGTAGATCGAGAAACTATTAGAATAGACATGAAATGTTGAAAAAAATAAACTGACATTTTATCTTTTTACTTATATTAATTTATACATAACTAGCTGTGCCTGCGACTTCGTCCGCGTGGAAAGTAGCCTAAGTTACCTTTTATTACAAAAGCTATCAGCCAGTGAAAGTTCGGTCAAAATCGGTCCAGCCGTTTCAGAGATAGCCGGTACAAAAAGACTTTGTTTATGTACCGTCTATATATACTTTTAGTGAAAAGCGGTTATTTTAATATTACAAACAATTTAATTTAATTGTATAGATAAATATAAAATATATGTTTTTTCTTCATTCATTGCTTTAAGTATGTATCTTGAACGTGTTTACCATTTGCTGATTTAAGAAAAACAGTACATAATTGTTTTACGACCACCCGTGATCATTGTGCTTGCAATAGTGCCGAAATATGGGGACTCTATAAATATAAGGTACACGGAAGTAATCCCCCAAGTAACTATTACTCTAACGTTAACGACCATTTTTTGAGAAAATGTTTCTTTAAACTACCACTTACTTAATATTTTTTGTGATTGTATATTGACTAAATGTTTGTTTTCTTATTGTTACACAGGTGTCAGCATCGACGAGCGAGATGACAGAGCGCGAGCGTTATCGTGCTCCGCCGCAACCGGAGCCGCCGCCGCACCGTGTCCGCGCGGCCGACCTATACCCGCGTCTGCGCACCCACTACGACGAGCCCGGCCTCGACGCCGGCTTTACACCTATATGCGGCGAATTTGTACAGGTGAATGTTATCACATGGTTATTATTATCTGTTATGTACCTAGCGGCGCTCAATCGCGTAACGCTTGTAGCGCGTGCACGTTGGCGTTGGTTTACGAGTACCTACATAGCAGAACTATTCTTCTTACGTTTATATAATAATCGCATAACAGCTATTTGCCTTTTACTATTTTCACTTTATTAGTACGAAGAAGTTATTTACTATGAGGTCTAATATTATATTTTGTCGCTACTATACTAATACAAATACTAATATTGCACTAATATAAAGATAGTACAATGGTAAAATGCAAGTGGTTGATATTCCATTGATATGCGGGTATTACGTAAACTTTATTAGTGTCATTAATAACAAGGTTTAGCGTTGGAGTAAATTTACGCTGAGACTGCACTCAGTATTAGACAAAATTCATATTATTAAAAAGAGACTTGGCAAAGGTTAACCTAGTATTTACTCTTAGAAGATAGTAAGTTTGCTTATTCACTGTATAAATTGCAATTTTAGTGTAAATTTACTCTGACGCTAAAGCTTTGAACACGTATTTTTTTATTTTTTTCGTAATCATTAAATTACGGCGTTACATTGAGTTGAAATTTCGCATGACGTCACGTTAGAGTACGTTTTCTACTCAACTGTGATGTAGCGAGCCCCCACTCCTCAACTTTAATGCCTGTTATCTAAGCTATTTCTTGTTTAATTGAAGTAAAAAAAAAATCGTATCTAATATTTTTCTATTATCTGACTGACGGACTAAATAGAATTGCATTGTTTTTACCCAGTCATCATCCCTATTAACTATTAAAAAATAGTACTCATAAAAGTAATAGGTTCAAATGAAGACGAACGTGATTTTGCGTAATATAAATATATAAACATGTATATTGTAATGAATAATGTCACGGTAAAAATGTTATTTATATTTGCGAATTTAATGAGCGAATGAATGTCTATTAGATTGATGGTTCTATATCGTTAGTTACACATATACGCTACACTATTCATCTATCTGGAACCAATTAGCGAAATGACTGACGACGACGTAATAGATAAGTTTCACTTGTGCGTTTGGTATTCAGTGTGCCGGTTTAAAGGTCACCGGGACGATGCACTAGCTAGGTTGAACGACCTACAGTTTAGTGATGCAACCAATACGAATATTCGTATTCGTACTACACCGAATATCATCACGAATATCAAAAATTATCATCTCTTGAAAACGTAAAACAAATTACCATTTGGTTGTGAACAGTGTATTTTCCCCTTAGTTGGTTCATTCATTACATGAATGAGTCCTGTCACAAATGGTTTATTCCACTTTAATCACCCGAGTGTTAAAATTCCACATTTTTGTGTTCTCAAATCAACCAATAGATAAATAACATGGATGACCAAAGTCCAGATTTGAATTTTAATTTATTGTTTCCTTAAATAACCTGGGTAATAAAATTTCACACGTTTTAAACTTTTTTAATGTGTATCCATATTGGTATGCCATATATTTGTGTAAGGTGTAGATATTGAGCTATATGAACAAAATATTCCTACTGGTAGAAAATAACCGTTGTAGGTTTGTTTATTACCTTGTTGAAGAGGAATGATGCCTGGGTAAAAAGAAAATAAATAGATTTTATTTGCTTAACAAGATTTTTTTTAGATACTTAATATATTTTAAATTTCGGCTCACTGTGCCACAACTATGTAGAAAATCTACCTAAGTGTCATGTCATGTGGCATTTTAACTCGATTCATAGCCGTAATTTTTTGATAACCCAAAAAAACGGTTCAAGTTTATTCTTTTATTTTTATTAAGTTAATATTTTAGATGATCTACCTGACGGACAAAAAATAGAGATGACCCTATAATTCGTATTTGCCTAATAGTAGATTTGATATTCATAATTCGTATTCGGTAAAGAAGAATTTGTATTCGTTGCATCACTACTACAGTTGCTTTGTCTAAAATCTAAATAATGATTTTAATTTTAGTCATTGCCTCCACATAACAGCTTGAGTCGGTTACCAAATATTTACAATTTATTGTACAATATTTTGCAAAATGACGTTGTGTGTATACAAGCAGACCTAAAAAAATAGATAAAAACTTTGTGTCTTTGTAAACGGACGATGCCGTATACATAATTACGAATTATAAAATATGCGAGCGATCTCTTAACGAAATACCTGGTTATTTTCACAAAACCCAATTTTTTCTGAAGGTGTTCTGTTCTATCACATTCAATTCGTCATAGGTAGGTTTTACTTCCATAACAGCCCATATTCCTTTTCAAAGCAAAGATACAATATTCATTTTATAGTAAACAAACAAGAACTTTTCATAGATATACAGGTCTTGAACACAATCTTATTTTCTTAACAATCTTCATTGAAGTTATCGAAGTTGCTTTTAGGGTTTCGCTTACTACCTACCTCCTTGTTTACATATACCATTAGTTTATCGGAAACTAAAGAATCGGTATCGGAAAGAGTACACGGAGGATATGTATAATCAATCCGGGTCAGCAAGTTAATGATAACTGTTGACCTGGATAGTATTGTATGTTATGGAATTAGGAAATTTTGTTTCCCTCTCAATTTTAGGGTTCTGTATCCTATGGGTAAAACGGGACCCTATTACTAAGACTCCGTTATACATCCGTCTGTCCGTCCGTCTGTCAGTCACCACGTTGAATCTCATGAACTGTGATAGAGAGTTGAAACTTTCACTATGTATTATATGTATTTCTGTTGTCGCTATAACAACAAATACTTAACAACAGAAAAAAAATATTTAAGGGGGCTCTCACACAATTAACATGTTTTTTTTGCTCTTTCTTCTTTCCATAAGAACCCTCCTCGGACTTGAACGACTATAACTACTTACTATTTATTGCATTCTTGTCTTGTTGAATCAGATATTTATAATATCAAAATTTATCGATATTTGATGTTCATCGGCATACCTGTGTAAAGCTTTGAAGTTGCTAATGTTTTTCTTTAATAATTGAAATCAAATGTGTAAAAAAATTTGATTTATTTAATGCTTTTTTATCTATTATTAAAAAGTAGTTCACGTGCGAGGATTCTCAGCGACGTATAGGGGAAAATCCGAAATTACTAATAAGTAAGATTGTTACTTCTAGCCAATATTGCTAGCGTTACATCGGGTTTGTTAATATTATAGCCGAGACTCATAATCAAGCTTACAATAAATATCAATTGATATATATCAACGTATAGGTATATCAATCGATATATATCATGATACATATTCGTTGATATTTATCAGCGAACCCTGTTGCCTGTACGTAATCCAAACCCAACCACACAGATAGCATAGCTTATGACACTTGGCAAATCTTCAGGCTGATATATCCGGTATACTATATAAATCTGTCACATTGAAACCACATCTGGTATTATTAGAATAACACATGACCTGATATCCTGATATGTGATCTAATGATTTGATCACATGTTTAATGTTTAGACGTCCATTAAATAATTTGATCATTATGATCTGATTATATCCATAAAACATCTTGCGGATCTAAGTTACGAAATGTAATTTCGATGCAAATAACAATTTTAGTTTTTTCTTAATTGAAAATTATTTGTTTGTTATAAAAGAAATAATTCTATTACTTTTTCTTTATTTCTACCGTCACTGCAGCCTGAGGTCGTTATCAATTTTGATTTTTTTCTTTAAAATAAAAATTGTGATAATAAAAACACAATGTGTGATGATGTGGATGCAAATTTATTATAATATAATAAAATATATCTGTCTTTGTTTATTTGTATATATACTGCATTTATTTACATAGCTGTTAGGTATTCATGACAGTTTATAAATAAACTGTGTTGTATAAACAGTACTAGGAGCACATATTTTCACAGGTGGTTTCTTTTGTTACAGTGGGTTGGCCGCATGGCCGACGGAGGCACGATAGCGATGTCAAATTACAGATTGCATATCCAGCCCAAGAAATGTATTGGACCAGGACCTTCTGTACCTGTCCGGCTTATAGATGCAGTGGAGATACGTGACCTATTGCATTTGATAGTACTCTGCAAGCATGGCCGGCAAATAAAGTGAGTACGGTGAACTCTTTCGGACTTCTAGCGCCCTGGTACTTGGGACGTGTACAACTTTCGTTTTCTGTGGCGTGTTTTCTTAAACGAGGAAGTGATAAAAATATTTTAGGTACATTTACAAACTTAGCGTTGGTTAATCATAAGATTTTGCTAGGAATTTTTGGATTTGTTAGTTTTTTTTTTTCTATTAAAAGATGCAAATTTTTATGATTTTGCTGCCAATTCTATCAAATCAATAGAAAACTACTTGCGTTTGTTCTATGTACCTGAAGTCCAATATTATTATTGCAAGGTCGTCCTCACAAATCAATCAATCAAAAATCACAAAGATGAGTGATGGATGAATTACACTTCCATTAGCAGAATTGCCCTACAAGACCTCTTCAAAATATAATATCAGAGCGGTTACCCATGAAATTGCGACCTAAACGACTCGTCGTAATTACAAACACCTATTGCTAAAAATATGTACCTATACCCATATTTTGTTTTAATTGATAACGACTAATTGGAATGAGGTTGGTTCGATAAATCCATAGCAACAAGGAAAGTGGAATCCATGTTTTGGTTTCCTAAAGCCACAAAATTGATAAAATTCCTGGTAATAGTCATCTCACACATTCTGTATGTAGATTTTGTTGGTATATGTTTTTAGAATAATATTACAGCAATTTAGCGTAAAATTAAATAATTATTTCTCTCAGCTAATCGAACAGGTATTAAGAAAAGGTCTTTAATATAAAATTAAATGTTTATCGATTACGTGATTGTTGACTCTGCATATTGTTTCCTTATAATCAAGTTGTTTTGAAAGTGTTAGATACACTTTCAAAACAACTTGAATGAATATTTCATGCACTATAACGACTAATAATTCAATATTACAATATATTTTTAAAAATAGCTAGCGTTCGTTGAACCAAATTACCAAATTTTAGCTCAATATGAAATGGTAAAGTGGGTGTAGCATAGAAGATTTGACCCACACTAACAACGACGGCAAGTTAAATTACTCATACCTCCCGACTCGAATTATTGAATGCTACCAAATCATTATATTTTCAGTTTAATTCAGGTATTATACATATTATATATTTTCTACCTTGCGGGCTAGGCAAAGACGATCGGCAGATATAATATTTTTAATAATTCACTTTCAGATCAATTCTCTTTAACCTATTCTAGTGCTGTTATTTACACTAGAACTTTGATCTCCGTATCACCAGGGCGTCGTTCGCCACAGGAGAGCAATGTCTTGAATGGTGGCGACGGCTGAATACGGCCCTGGCCCCCCTCAACTCCGTGCAGGAGACCTTTGCGGCCGCGTACGCTGCCTGGGCGAAGGAACAGCCCCCGGCTTCGGTGCACAGAGCACTAATGCGGGCGTCACACGCCCCACACAGACATTGGTTCGGCCCCGAGGTAAGTTCTTATTCAGTATTGAGGGCCTGGTACTTTATTGAGATTCCATAACTTTAATAGCACCCGTATGACCTTGCTTCATAAATATTCATATTTAAATTTGTAATTGCAATGATTTTTAGTCCAAGTTTTCTGGCCTCAGTATTTATTAAAATAAGAGTCTTCTATTAATGTCCCCACGGGGTCTTCCCTGTGGATGGAATCGAAAAGTTAGAAAGAATGACCAATGACCTGTGACCCACCTCGCAGGTCCAATACGGATTGGTGGGTAACGGCTGCAGTCGATCAGCAAACCAACGACTTAACGTGCCTTCAAAAGGCAGAAAGAGCTAGAGATAATAAATTTTAGGTGACCCATCCTATGACCGACTTTTGTGAAAGTTGCCCAACTTCCGCTTCACAGATCGAATGTGTCATTCAGCTCGTTTTAAGCAAGCGTAGTTAAATTACTTGTATGTATTTTAACTACTTTTTGGAGATTTCTTATTGCTCTTATTTAGTAGCAAATAATGCTTTCTTCGGTCGATGAGGTTGCAGGTGTATTCCTGCAGTTCATGTTAGCTTAGTATTATGAAATTGTTAATCAAAAATCTCTAAAGTTGTGTTACATCAAAATGATTACACTTTATAAAAAAAAAAGACCAAATGTTTACGCAAACTATTACTAGCATTTTAACTGAGAAAAGAAAATGATTCGCACAGATTACTTTTACGGTTGTTTAAATAGTAAAGAATGTTATCGGAATAATGCGCGCGAGCGTTGCGCAACCCGCAGAATTTCCTTACGTAATTGTGAGGCATGGAATCTATTTACATAAGCTTATTAAATTTTATTGCCATTATAACCATGTAGGTTGTTTTCAGTATTCCTATACTATAATACTTTTATAATTAACTTTTATGTAAAAAAGTATTTGTTTCTAAAATATTATTTACCACGCATCGTTCTTCTTATATGTAGCTCGGTGGCGCAGTGGATAAGCGCTGTGGCCTGCGATCTTTGTTGTATAACCATAAAATATTAAGAAATAGAGCATACCAAATAAAATACAAAAAAAAATAGAGCTACACCGTGTTTCGAGAGGCACGTTAAGCTGTTGGTCCCGACTACACTTGCAGTCACTAATACCCTCTAATCCGTATTGGGCCAGCGTGGAGGGTCATGACTCATCCTCCTTAACCATCCATTAGGAAAGCCTGAGCCCCTGCAGTGGGGACTTAAAAGGGCTGATTATAATTCTTCTTATTGTATTGTTCTTGTCACACAGGTGGAGCGTATGGGTTTCACTAGTAGGGGAGCATGGCGAGTGACAGCGGCCAACGCAGAATATAAGTTGTGCCCCTCGTATCCGCCGCTGCTTGTGGTGCCCGCCTCTATAGGAGACGGGGACCTAGATTCTGTTGCGAGGTTAGCATTTGTTAACTTCTTTTAAGTGGGCGGCGTACACAAAAAAAAAAAACATTGACGTTCAACTGGTTTTGTACAAAGAAATAATCTATAGACCATATAAAAATTGACTCAATTACATTCTTACAACCATATATGTTTCCCAACATTCACGCTTTAAATTGTATAATCAAGAGAACAAATTGAATATATTTATTATCATCCATTTTGCATTCACAATGCAACTGAAAAATATTCTTAATGAAAAATGCTTAAAAAGTCCACTTTGTTCCTTGTACTCTGAGATCGGAGTCGATACGTCGCCGATTGCGAAAGGTCATGGGTTTGGAGTCTCATCTCAGAGTGCCAGGGACAAAGTGAATTTCATTAAAAATGAATTTAGTTGAATTTTAATTATTTCACGATTTGAGGTTATTATAGTTATAGCAAATCATACTTCACACATTACACGTATCATGTATCGGTTAATCGCAATGACATATAGCATGGATCAAAGCGCCAAATCATTTGTAAAATCGATTGCTCACAAACTATCACGGTTATTGTAAAATCGTTCGTGTCAGCTCTTTGTTACAATGTGACTACTATTTATCAATTTTATGGAACAGTTGTCTGAACGCGACCTAAAATTGTCCTATAAATGTGATTTATTAAGCACAAAATATCAACGTGTTTGTCCCACTGTCCGCCCGTTATCAAGTTGACAATTCCAATCGAGTAGGTGCGCGACCTTTTGATAAATTAACGTCAGTTTGACGTAGGTAACACTGTATACGAAGTATGATATAGATAATTTTTTTATTGGATAATAATCGTAAGCTTGGTGACAGACGGACAGCAGTCTCAGTAATAGGGTTCCGTATTTACTCTTTAGATACGGAACCCTTATGATTGCTAGATCTGTCTACATTCGTTAATGTTTAATAATAACATTTGGTTAGGTTCCGTGCTATGCGGCGGATACCAGCAGTTGTTTGGCGTCACAAGGGTAACGGCGCTGTGATCGCACGCTCGTCTCAGCCTGAGGTGGGCTGGCTCGGTTGGCGGTCCAGCGAGGACGAGAGATTGCTCGCCGCCTTCGTGTCAGCCTGCAACGCAGACAGGGGCAGCATGCCTTCACACTCCAACAAGGTATTTTTATTTTGTGGTTTTATTTTTAAGCCAAAAAAACTTAAATTTATGTGGAGATAAATCACTAAAACTAAATTTAACTTTTTTGTTAATAATTTTTTTTAAACATTTACAACGCGAGATGTGGTCGTTAACTGTGGATCTTCTCAATAAGCTCAAAGTCACTCAAGGGACGATGGTGAGGGCTTGGAATTTCCTTTGCAACAGTGAATAAGAAATGAGGAGATTTGCAAACGAAGCAGTGTGGCCCACATAATCTGAATAATTGCGAGGCTAAATTAGCAACGGATAAGGCACAAACCTCGTGACTCGTACAAAATAGACCTAGGATTTGTTCAGGATCGCCAGGAAGTGTTGGATGAGAACAACGCTGAAGATATTTTTAAAGCAGGCTTTTGTCCGGCAGTGGACTTATTTCGGCTGATACGATGATTTTGATGATATATGCATGAGGTGAATTTCTACTGAGTTAAAAAAAGGGGAGAGGTGTAATCAGTTTATGAAATAGGAATAATGAGTTGTAAAAAGGGTATTAAGGTTCTTAATATAGATGATACTTTCAGAGTGAATAGTATACAATTATTTTTTGTTGTTTTAGCAACTCAAACTGCTAATAGTAGACGCACGTTCGTACGCATCCGCCGTAACGAATCGCGCCCGCGGCGGCGGCTGCGAGTGTCAACAGTACTATCCAGCTGCAGACATACAGTTCATGTGTCTGCCTAACATACATCATGTCAGACGCAGCTTCCAACAGATGAGGACACTGGCGGCCGAACCAAATGACCAGTCCAAGTATGTATGAACAGATGTTTTTAACAGTCTTTAAAATAGAAGGTTATCAATTTATTTGTTGGAATAGGGTATTCTACTCTGTTTGAAGTAGTACTTGAAAGTGTTTGTTTTAATAAAACATATATTTCAGAAATATAAAGACATTTTCTTGCCTTGGAATTAAATTAAAATTTTAATATATTTTCTATCTGCGAAAACATTGTCCGACATAATCATGACGTCATTTGGATATGTATACAAAACGGATGCTCAAGATAGAATAATAGATTAAAAGATGTCAATAAAACAAGAACAGTGCCATCTAACGGTCGAATACGAAAGTCACACAATGGCAGGTCGTGTTTCAAGTCACGCGAACAACACAAAAATCTCGACTTTTAATTTTTAGATAATCATGCGATTTTATGAATAAAAATCTATGTTTATTATAATGTGAATTAGTTTTTGTGCGATTTTGTGACTTATTTTTTCACCACCGAAACTATCCTATACTGTATTATTTATGTATGTTAGTCTAAATGGGCAATATGTACTGTATTTCGAGATAAATAATAGGTATCGGAAAACATTGGAAACAATCTTTTGACAACACAAAGTAGTCAAAGCAAAAAAAAGTAATTTGTCTCTAAGTGTCATTTGCAATTTCAACTTATTGCCATTAAATAAATGTCAATTTAATTTTAAAAAATTACTTTGCGAGTGGTGCGCTGGTTTCATTAACTTGTCAGTTGCCGATAGTATTGAAACCCTACATCGTGTTTTGTTTTGATGTAACATTACAAGTATTTATTCTGTATTTAGGGAGGTACATGTAAACTGTGTATGAGCAGCTCTATATTAATATTCTGCCTAGATGTGTCGGGCACTTTCAGAAACACGAAGTAAGCCGACGCCCATTATTTATCTTGAAGTATTCTATGTATTTTTGTCCAAGTATTTACGACAAAATCAGCATAGTATCACAATACTAGTTCTTTTTTTTTTATTAAACACTTTCCAAGTTATGGAGCATGTTTGAACAAATTTAATTTATCCGTTCAGTAATTTAAAAACATATTAAATAAGATATGAAAATTTAATCGACTTTAAAAACATCTATCCGCCTCTCCATCTCACGCCGGCTCGCTCGCATGCGTTCGGGCAGTCGTTACATTCTGGTAGAGTTGAGTATATTCGGTGCGGTGGTCGGCTAACGTGTACGTTATTGCGCGTCACCAGTTGGCACAGCAACCTGGAGCGGACGCTGTGGCCGCAGTACGTGTCGGGCGTGCTGCGCGCCGCGTCCGTGGTGGTGCGCGCCGTGCTGCACGGCCGCCCCGCGCTCGTGCACTGCTCCGACGGGTGGGACCGCACGCCGCAGATTGTGGCCACCGCGCAGCTGCTGCTGGACCCACACTACAGGACGCTACAGGTACACTGTGGCACGCCTGTATGTATATACTACCGCGCTCGTGCACTGCTCCGACGGGTGGGACCGCACGCCGCAGATTGTGGCCACCGCGCAGCTGCTGCTGGACCCACACTACAGGACGCTACAGGTACACTGTGGCACGCCTGTATGTATATACTACCGCGCTCGTGCACTGCTCCGACGGGTGGGACCGCACGCCGCAGATTGTGGCCACCGCGCAGCTGCTGCTGGACCCACACTACAGGACGCTACAGGTACACTGTGGCACGCCTGTATGTATATACTACCGCGCTCGTGCACTGCTCCGACGGGTGGGACCGCACGCCGCAGATTGTGGCCACCGCGCAGCTGCTGCTGGACCCACACTACAGGACGCTACAGGTACACTGTGGCACGCCTGTATGTATATACTACCGCGCTCGTGCACTGCTCCGACGGGTGGGACCGCACGCCGCAGATTGTGGCCACCGCGCAGCTGCTGCTGGACCCACACTACAGGACGCTACAGGTACACTGTGGCACGCCTGTATGTATATACTACCGCGCTCGTGCACTGCTCCGACGGGTGGGACCGCACGCCGCAGATTGTGGCCACCGCGCAGCTGCTGCTGGACCCACACTACAGGACGCTACAGGTACACTGTGGCACGCCTGTATGTATATACTACCGCGCTCGTGCACTGCTCCGACGGGTGGGACCGCACGCCGCAGATTGTGGCCACCGCGCAGCTGCTGCTGGACCCACACTACAGGACGCTACAGGTACACTGTGGCACGCCTGTATGTATATACTACCGCGCTCGTGCACTGCTCCGACGGGTGGGACCGCACGCCGCAGATTGTGGCCACCGCGCAGCTGCTGCTGGACCCACACTACAGGACGCTACAGGTACACTGTGGCACGCGTGTATGTATATACTACCGCGCTCGTGCACTGCTCCGACGGGTGGGACCGCACGCCGCAGATTGTGGCCACCGCGCAGCTGCTGCTGGACCCACACTACAGGACGCTACAGGTACACTGTGGCACGCGTATTTTGATCCCACAGCTGGGACACGGCGTACCCTTTTGAATCCAATAGGGAGAATGAGTCATGACCCACCATGAGAGATTAATGGGTATTGGTAGATGTTAACGACTGTAGATGTAGCCGAAGCTAACGGCTTAACGTGCCTCCGAACCGGCCTTTGCGAAAGTTTCTGAATCGCAACAAACCTAACGCGACGTGTTCACATCTCTTGTAATATTTCTCATGAGCTACGAGTTACGCATCAAGCAATAATGAAAAGAGCATATACTTGCTATTTATATCTTATACTTGATATTTTTAAATCTTCTGCGCATGTACATTTGTATAACTTAGTATTCGGGCTTACTGTACCCAATAATGAATTGTTCATTTCTTCCCCAGGGATTCCGCACTCTGATTGAGCGGGAATGGTTAGACTTCGGTCACAAGTTTGCAGACCGATGCGGTCACCAATTCGGGCCGGAAGAGCCGAACGAGCGGTCACCTATCTTTTTGCAATGGCTCGACGTCACCTACCAATTGATGCTGCAACACCCGTGCAACTTTGAATTCAACGAAGCATATTTGGTTAGTTTTTAGCTTGGCCAGCTATCTGAGAGATTTTCATTAGAACTGTATTGAATGCATTTGAATTTATTTCTATAAAAATAAAATCTATACTAATATTATAAAGAGGCAAAGTTTCTAACTTCCATTGTTTGTAGGAGGTAATCTTCGGAAATACTGACCCGATCATCTTTTATCCACGGGAAACTATACCATACGTGGGCGCCATAGGCTATAAAATCGCGGGAAAATAAATTTGGATAACTGTACTATGCGCTAATGAATACATATGCTTTTATTGTCATTTGTTGTTTCTCTACGGCCTATGCACTCTTTAATGCATATGTTTTTATTAAGGATTTTTTGAAACATTGCATAGTAATACACTTATGTATAAATGTGTGCAGGTAAAGTTAGCTACTCACGTCCACTCGTGCATGTTCGGCACGTTTCTGTGCAACACGGGGCGTGAGCGAGCGGAGCGACGCGTGAGCGATACTACCGCGCATGTGTGGCACCTGTTACAGGCGCCCTCATACAGAAACCATCTATACACACCACCGACTGATCAGGTAAGGAATATTTAAGGCTATTTTTTTATAGTCTGTGTCTCATGTCAAATGAAACACCAATCAAAGCGCGTGGCGTTATTTGTGAACAAATTGGTAGTAAAATTTCTAGAAGAAGCGCGGGAAATATTCAGAGTGCAAAATAATTTTAATTATTTACTTGACTTATAACCAGTGGTCGGAATTAGGTAGAGTTATTCATGTACTTACACTGATTTCATACGGCGAAAGAATAAAGTGGACATGCCTCAAAAAATCCCGTGATTTTTTAAATAAAAGTTATTTACTTTTACACAATTTAAACTACTGCACGCACGACGTTGCCAAACTTACATCAATGAAAGAAAGAAATAAAAAAATAAAGAAATCCCGGGAAGGTCCACATTCATGTCAACATTTCGATGCAAGTACATAAATAACTCTACCTAATTCCGACCTCTGCTTATAACAGGTTATGTTATCTGTTTTATTTATTTGAGAGTTTTGCATACGACATTTTTTTTTCACTGAAAATCCCTTTTGTTTACCCCACAAATGACATCGCGTCCTTCGAGTCGCCGTTACGTTGTTTATTAAACAGTTAAATTGTAAGCATAATTTTGGGTACATAATGAGGCTCATTAATATAAACTATTTTATTTGTGAAAAAAAAAAACACCTATACTGATTAATTTAAAACAGTTTTAATAATGTTTTTAAGAGTTTTGGTCTGTTCCCCCCCGCCCCCAGGCGATGGAGCAGCAGGTGCTGTGGCCGGAGTGCAGCGTGCGCAGCGTGCGCGTGTGGGCGGGCCTGTTCGCCGCCGAGCGGGAGGAGCCCGAGCGCACGCCGCCCCCGCCGCCCGCCGCGCCCCCCGCACCTCCACGACCCGACGTACACAACGGTACCAACCCACACACACCAACCCACCACACGGCACGGCCGCAATAGGGATGATCGATGCCATCATCGAAAGCTCAACATCGATGTTCGATATTTTTTCGAAAACTGAACATCGATGTTAGTTAGCATAGAATATTTTAAACAGAACAATTTTTTATATATTCCAATATTTTTTATTAACTGACAGAAATAATATATAGACTCACTTAAGTAATTTTGATAAAGAAGAACATTGTAATCTTCTTTGTTGGTAAAGAGTAGAAATCATGTATTTCACGATATTCAGTTCATGAAAATTCAGTTTTATTTTATTAAAGTAGAACTTTAAAGTTAAAATTAAGTTAGAACTTAATTCTAATCGTAATTTAGAATTGGGATTAAAAATCCACCAGCCCCAGGTACTCTGAGATAAGCATTTTTAATTAAGAATATTTTCCAGTATAGCATTGTGAATGCGAAATTGATCAAATACGATAATTTAATATTATGTTAATATAATGAAATCGTTGGGACGTATGATGAAGATATTTGAGTTGAGAGAATGCTTGGCGGGTGCGTAAACGACGATTCGATGTGTGCGTGTGCGCCGATCCATCCTTTTATATGAAGTTTAAGTTAAAAACAACATATTAACTATCATACTTGCAGCATTAAGGCTTAAAATCGAATGGAGAAATTAACCAGACTTGTATCACCCGGCGTGCCTGTTGCCTGTGCAAATGACCTGTTCAGAACTGAGAATTCTACTTCCAAAACGTTTTTCTATGAGAACCGAATCAGGGGTTTTTACCATAACCACATAGCAATGTTTTATACGTATTTCAGTATAGCATTGTGAATGCAAAATTAATCAAATATACTAAAGTTTAGTGCTAATAATATTTACTAATAAATTTGTATATATTTTGTTCATAGGACTAATGACAAAGACTAGATCGTGCGACAATCTACATAACGAGAGCGAGAGGAGAACAACGCAGAGGAGAAGCAGCGATCCGAGCTTGGCGCCCGATGTTTTGTGAGTATACATTAGTTTAATATAGAGCAGTGGTTCTCAAACTTTATCGGGCTCCAACCCATATAACGAACCTTTCTAATATTGTGATCCACCTCATAGCTGTATTAGAGAAAAGATGGTATAAATATGTCTTATGCAGTGGCCAATCGCTCATTAGGGTCTACCTAATGTTCGGTTGCGAACTATAAGTTTGGGAAATACTGATATAGAGACCCGACTACGACTTGCGTAAAATTAAGTAAACTTACTTTAAGTAAACCTTACGCTTGCGATACGATTGTATCTAAAGTTCTTTTTTTTCATATCGTATGCCTCAAGACTCGTACGTTTTTAGTTTACTTGATGTTCATGACTCTTTCTGTAATAGTTCGTCTCGCATTACTTTTTATTATTATTAAAATATTATTCTTTTCTTATAGGAAATTGTCAGTGCCCGCTACTGACAGCGAGACACGGCGAGTAGTTCGCGGTGCCCTCACTGACAGTTGCGTCGATGAATTGCCCGGTCTACCTTCCACTTCTACGGAACACGATCAGGTAATATAGTAATATTTGCTTATATAAATTGTGAATGACTAAAGAGAGATACGGCGATTGTCAAGCACAAATCAACACTTTTTTAAGCACCTTTGCTTAGTTATTAAGTCAGTCCGAAATAGTACATTAACCGCGACTTAACATTTCGACGTGTAGTCCTCTGTCTCTGTTGATTCGATTGACGAGTGCGATGATATCGTCTAGTTTTATTTTAATGGTTCCCTACTCAGAGGTCCATACCTAAACGGAAACCCTATTATTGTCCTCTGCACCGAATGTATGTACTTCAACAAAGCGAAATATCAAGCTTTATAAAATCGTAACCGTTCCTCCGCGCAGGTGGACGGCCTCCATCCTGATCACTTCGAGAACACGTCACAGTTGCCGCGCGACATCGCCAGCGGCTCCTCGTCCCTGGAGCGGGAGCTGGCGCCGAAGGTGGACGAGCCCGCGCGTGACGTCACCGGCGCGCGTGACGTCACCGACGCGCGTGACGTCGCGGGCGCGCGTGACGTCACCGACGCGTGTGACGTCACCGACGCGTGTGACTCGACGGTGGACACCACGCCGGACATGGACACGCCCGAGGAGCCCGCCGTGTTCCTCGGCGACGCGTACACGGACGTACTGGGGATTGCCGATGTGAGTACATTTATACTTATAATATCCGCAAATTGCTAATGCCCCTGGCTGCGATTTTGATGACGTAATTACGGTCAAAAACCAGTGCCGTTAATAAATGAACACTGGTTGACACTTATTGAGTTGGTTTGTGTTGAGATCACACATAATTCTTGTTATGTTTTTGTTGGTTTCGATTGTTATTAATAGACTAAAATAGCAACTGCTATTACTATTTGCACAATAAATATTTTATACCTTATGAATGTTGAAATAATGCTTATTATAGATTTAAATCATACTTTTGCTCATTATTGCTATTTGTATGTCCTAACCTTCCAGTTATGGTTATGGCTATAGGATACGACATTTTATCGATGTTAAGGCAGTATTTCGATTCACCTTACTTCTTTGGTATATTTTTTGGTGGATTAATTTGGGACAATTTATTAATTTGGTAATGCTCTCCTCAAATCCTTATTTTTCTTTTTTATCATATGTTATAAAACGGAACATGTACACAACATCGCTAAGATGTCGTAATCTTTCGCGAGGATCATGGCTAGAGAGTTTGGCGGTCGTATTCCTGTGAAACGGAAATTCAACATTAGCCATATCCGTTTGAAATACTGTTATCAATGTTAAGGAGATCACCTCTTAAACACTTATTACATTTTTACATACGATCTCTGTCCGGCCCACTCCAAAGTACAGGATATCAATGGGCTAGACACAGACGACGAGACGCAGAGGAGCTCGATAAATTACCTCAAGCTCCTCCGTGCTTCAGAAGGCACGTTATATGAAGTCGTTAGCATCCCCCAATCCGCACTGGGTCTAAGTTCTATCCATAGCGGAACCATAAGCTGATGAAGATGTTCACGTCAGATATTTCTATGTCATACAGGCGGCAAGAGAAACAGGCAGATCTCGCAACATAAGTATCACGTGGCGTTCCGTATCGGAATCTAGCAACCAATCGTCGACCGGCTTCGATCTGACGGACAGACCGACTGTATCACACGAACCGTCGCCGGATAATCACAACGAAACCGAGGAGCAGAGCACCAGTAGCGCTACGGATGCGGATCTAGCCAATCACAACGTATTAGAGCTGACCAATGGGAACGGAACAACCGATTGTGCGGATGCCGAGGATGACGTCACTGCGAAGTTCTTGGAAGTCGAGCTAAATGGTGAGTCTTGAAGTTGGAGTTGAAGTATATCAGTATCAAACATTCTGTTTAGTATGGTTTAGTTATAAGAATAAATTTTATGTGATGGGAATAAGATTGGAAAGCGATTTTATATATAGATCAAGCTGTAGGATGAAGTGACTATCGATAAATAGGATAATAACGGCGTAGACAAATTTTTAATATTTTTATCTTATAGATGCAGAGGGAAATAATATTTAATTTCCTATATAAAGAATTGAGGTTGTTTTACCTTGTATGAATTAATATTACACCTGAAGGCTTATTCATTTGGTCCTCAAACGAAAATTTGAGATATTTCGAATCGTTTTTATAATTTTGTTAAAATCATATCCAGATAAGATGATGTGTAAAGGTAGTGTCGGGTCCACCTCTATTGGATCACAGATTGAAGTCTTTGAAGTCGTTTTAGCATTTCGAAAATAGAGGAAATTTTGTTTTCGGCGAAATAGAACAGGGCTTCAGACGTCATGTTAATTCGTACGTGTAGTACTCGATTCGCGTCTATTTTTCAGGGTAAATTATTACATGTTTTGGGTAGACGCGGGTGTAACTAACGTGGTATTCTGTTAGGCGGCGGCACATCTAGCGTTAGTTCGGAGAGTGAAGGCGAGACTGGGGTGACTAGACGGGCGACGGGCAGGCGGCACGGCAGCCAACAGACGCTGTGCCCCGCGTCGCCGAGGAGATGTTGCCGATGTAGTCGTGCTCACCCCACCACTAGTGAGTTTGTTTTGACGTGCATTCACACTGACGTAACTTTATAGTAAACGTCTTTCCAATCTATAAATATTAGCTATCAGCTAAGTAGTAATTACTACTTATTATGTATTTATATGTTTGTTTATATGTACTTACAGTCAGTTGCACAAACGTCAATTAAGGTTTAATGACGCTCTAATGAATGTCAAATTTGTACCATGTTATATGGTAATATTGCATTAAACTAATGAAAATTTTAATGGACGTTTGTGCAACTGGCTGTTAATCTACTTAATTACTTCATAACGTGTAAACTAGCTATAACATGTGTTATCGTTCGGTAGGTGGTATAGATACGTCCGGCGAGTCTGGCGGGGACGCGTGCTGGTGCTACGTGGGGGGCGGGGCGGCGCGCGCGCGCTGCACGTGCGGGGGCGCGGGCGGGGGCGCCGACCCGCTGGACGGGCTGCCCCCCGCGCCCGACCCCACGCAGCAGCGCCTGCACCAGATCATACTGCATCACCAGGTGGCGCCGGAGTTTTTTTTCCTTTATAGTTTGCTAGCTAAGTTGATTATAATAATATAATTATTTTTTTACTCAAAATTTTGAAAATAGTCTGAATAAAAATTATCATATCTTTTAAGTTAGCCTATGTTACGTGATATATGTGAAATTCGATTAAGATCGGTTAAGTAGTTTTGGGTTTTTGATGACATAGTAAATCATTTAGTAATCCAAGCGAAGCATATTCATTTCATTTTGCCACAAATAAAAAACAAGTAAAATTTTCTGTGTAAATATACCATATCCGTCATACCCGTGTACATTCGTGAGGAGAAGTACTTATTACTATGTATTTCACATAAATACAAATAAATGTGATGAGAATTTAATATAAACTTAAAAATAATTCAAAGTATTAACTTATGTTAAAATATATACATTTCAAGTTGTTATTATGATCTAGCTATTCTGTAGCTTGTAGCTAGATGCGTGTAGCTCTCTGAGGTTCATGGTATTTTACAAGTAACGCTGTATATTTATATTTTAATACTAAAATATACAGTATTCACCCTAGCACCAGTTTTAAAATATAGAACACAGAACAGAAAAAGTAACGAAAAATAATAAACATATTAAAATTGAAGTGAAAACTATTTAAATTATTAACGTTCCTTATTTGTTACAGAAAGTAGTAGAAGAATTGAGCGGTCAGTTGCGTGAGGCACGCGAGTTGCTGCGGCGCGCCTCGCCCCAGACGGCGAACCCCCCCGCGGCCCCCCCGCAGCCCCCCCCTTCGCGCGCCCCCCAGCAGGTAGCTATACTGAGGCTACCCCACACACCATGTTAGATATTTGTACACTCGACACCACATCAATATGTACAAAACTGACTCATTTCAACAATCGATTTTCAAACGTAACGGGTCATTGTGCTGATTTAAACTTTCATGTTCATTTTAGAACAAATATAAGGTAAATAATGTATATAAAACAGTAAAATTTCTCCATTTGCTTTTAAACTTTGCCCTTTGTTGAGTAAAGGAAATTTGACATATTGTGGTAGACAGCCGTGGGTAAATGTAAGCAATTACGTATTTAAGTATTATTCTTTAAGTGTCTTATTTATAAATAACGTCACACTCTAAAAACGGAGGAAAGGGTTGACGAAGTGTGACCATGGTTGGAGGTATCCGTCATTTGTAACGTTATAATGCATGATGTATATTATAAAGAGCAAAGATTTTATTGTTTATTTGTTTGTATTGTATAGGTTCTGAAACTACTGGACAGATTTTTTCTAACATTGAGAAATCAACGTCATCCTTAGTATAGGTTAAAATTTACGCAGGCGAAGTCGCTGGAGAACAGCTAGTATAATATAATGGGTCAACATTTGAACTACTTCTAATCGAACTTTTTTAAATCGAAAATCGCTTGTGGAAATTTGTCATTTTGTGGTAACCTGATGTGCTGCTGTGTGTATATCATACGATGCTACCATCTCGATACTCACATTTCCTAATGTCCTATCTATACACTCGGAAAATGATAACGTAGTATCGAAAGTTACTCATTTTCTAGTGTTATTTTCTCAAGAATAAAATTTAATAATAAAGGGTATGGTTAAATTATTGTAATACAATTTACATAGTATTTAAGGTGTAGTTCTTGCAGGTCTACCGCGTATACTATACATAAACGATCATCCGACTTTGATTTTGTCTATACAGCCATAACATATTTTAATAACTTCTTGTTTTTTTTTAATACTGTTATAGATTTAAACCATAAATAGTATGTGATACCTATGATAATATGAAAAGTGAACAAGTTGCTATTATATAAATTAAATCTAAAAATAACATGTTCTATTTTAGTAAAGAAAACTTCAAAAGCAAAACTTTTGGCTGTACAGAAAACCAAATAGTTTTTAATTTGTGTTGTTTTTTTAATACAATCTTAATTGATGTAAATCAAATTGCTCAGCTAATTAAAAAAATACATTGTAAAAATGACAATGCCAGCGGTCGCTTCATATACATCCGGTTCATGCATTGAGAATTCAAAGTTAAGCACGCCTCAAATCGTACTTTAGCCATCTTAAACGTCACTTGGACAAGTTTTCGTTTGTCCATAAAACTACGACTTTTTGCCATGTGAAACGTAAAAAACTTGACTTTTCAATCCGGTGTTGACGTTGTGAAACCGGCCATTTGTCACACGCAGAGTTGTATTACAGAAGCAGAAGCGCAGCACGTCGGGCAGCGGTAGCGGCAGCAGCGGCGGCGGCGGTAGTGGCAGCAGCGGCAGCGCCTCCGAGGTGGAGGTAGCAGAGGAGGCGCGCGGCATCGTGTGGTTACCCGACAGTGCCGCCTCGCGGTGCCAACACTGCAGCAACCACTTCTGGTTGGCGCGCCGGAGACATCACTGCAGGTCGGCTAGTGTTGCCACACGTCCCGTTTTTCGCGAGACGTCCCGTATTTCGTGCAGAAATTTACATGCCCCGTTGGAAAACAACTTTATGTCGTATATGAAATCGATTTCACTTAAAAGTGAGGTGATGAACGAAGTAAATGTACCTCGAATTTAACTTTTTAGTATGTCAAATCCCACCAATTGTTAATCGTGGATAAAAAATTGGAATTCCGTATTTTTTGCACATATAAGCATTTGTCTCTTACATGCTGAAAAAAATCTGACAGCGACACATAATAATGGTTTTTATTTATTTACTAGTGAGCCCGGAGAATTCTGTTCCGCGGAAGAATTTTGAATGTAAATATATATATAAACTTCTTGGTCCTCCTAACAGTCAATGAATGATTAAAGTAAACTATAGACATAGATAACATTTTGTGAGCTGTCAGTTGCGTTTTATTATGGCACAACATAATTAAAATCAATTTTTGAGTCTTTCATAATTATTATTTTTATATGGGATTAAAAGTATCCAGTGACGTATCCTGGTTCCAAGCTACCTTCCCATTAATTTTCAACCAAATTGGTTCAGCTTTCTTGAGTTATAAATAGTGTAAATAACACGACTCTTTTATATAGGTGTATAGATACATTTGTATATTACAGCCAAAACAAGTATACGACAAATATTACAAACGGCTATTATGCTCCCACTTCATACTTAAGTATGACCTTTGACGGTCATTAAATACGATTATATACATATATCTAACTAAATCTCTCCATTACACACAAACACATGTGACGTCATAAAGTTATATTTATTATATGTCAACAACAGACGATGCGGCGGTATCTTCTGCAGCTCGTGCTCTGAGCTGAGTCCGTACGGCGAGATCGGATCTGTGCGCGTGTGTCACCGCTGCCGAGCGCTACGGTGACGGCCTATTGCGCCGCTACACGCGCTACGACCTCCACATGTGCTACGGACTACGCCGCTACACAACCATCCGCGTGTTACGACGACGGTGAGCGCAGTCACGCACTACAAAGTCGCCCGCGATCCGCGTACGCACCCGCTGCTGAAATCGCTCCGTTTATTCTGTTCATCGACCGAGTGAACTTGTCGAATATAAAGCCGCTTCTGTTCCAAAAAATGTAATCAATTTATTTTTCATCCTTTAAAATAATTTTAATAAATTATGACACAGTTTAATAAAATCGGCTTCTGTTATGTTTCTGTTTAAAGAAATACAGATTTGATTTTATTTATTTGAATCTATTGTATTAAAATAAAATTTGACATTTTGTAGCGTGCTCTAATGATCGGTATCTATGTGTTCTAAACTCAAACGGCTGTTTGTTCTAGTAAAATAAGAAGCGAAGATTCAGAGACGGGAACTGTTTTGTTTCTTTATATTTAAATAATATAACGCCGCTATACTCGATATATTATAAGAATATAATAATAAAACAATTCACGTCCATTGTCGACTAGTCAACCGCTTTTGATAAGTGACATCCACTCATGATATTTACCTATTGTATAAGGATAGACGCGGGACTGATGATGCTTTTTATACTATAATAAAAACAATATTGCATCAGAATATAGCACATATTATTAAGTAACGTAAAGTTGAAAATGGTGCTTGTATGTCTGATCTTAAAATCGAGAATAATTACATTATAAAAAGACAACTTTTAAATGAAATTCAGCTTATTGCATTTTATTTATAATTAAATAGTTTTTGATGTTGTCTAGATTATATATATATAAAGTATGAGATTTATTGACCGTGATGGTTTCAGTATTATATCGTTTAAGCTTCATTGGTCTTGCGGCTGCCCGCATTGATAAACGTCCTCGCTTTCATTTATAATTATATTTTTGTCATCAATAAATTGTTTTATCGATATTCGATCGATTGAGTATTCACAGCTCTGCTAGCTGGAACTGCTATTAGTGTGCATAAAGTTTAATTAATGTTTTTGACAAAGAGATTAATGATACCTTTAAAATATGGCAAACCAAGTACCCATTATCTCGGCCGTTAGTGATAAAAAAATGTCGATGGACAAACGAAGACACGCTTGGAAATCTTTTGAAATGCATTTGTATAGACGCCTGTTGAACTGAACCTTATATCATGGAGATAAAGTTGAAACATGTCTCTAAATGTTGAGCTGAATAATAGTGATGTTTGATTTGTATGTGACAAAATGGCGATCTAGTCTTTCGCGGTGTGTGCGGGCAGAAGGTTAGAATAGTTAGAAAAAGGTATAGTGAGTGAATGATACGCGAAGGCTGATTTTCTACTAATGTATAATTTAATTTTTAACTATTGCGACACTCATTTTGTTATTTAAATGTTCGTAGAACTGGTGGTATACATCCGGTTTGGGGTTATCGTTTATATTTACGATATTAATGACTGAAAAGTTTTTTTTTTAATTTAAGTAAGACAAATGAAATTTGCTATTGTATTTTTTGAAGCTGGGATGTGTATTGCCAGGACAAATCTATTCGTGCCGTAGACTTGTAACATTTCCCGGTGCGAATCGTAAGCGACATTGTGTAAAATAGTTTTTATTTTCTTTTTGTGTTTTATTTTATTTTGTATTATAGTGTTTCGTTTGTTCTAATATTTAGTTTTTGTACAGAGTAAAGTTTTTTCTTTCACACATTGTCGTCGTCAGACGCCGTGCCGTGGTGGCTCAGGTTGGTCGGCTGATTTTAAGAGAGGGATATACGTGTAGGCGGTATGACGCGTGCGAGGGAGATAGTTGTCAGTCGAATAGAAAGCATATTTCGTCCTTTAAGAATTGTATTATCCGGTTTTCCTCTTATCGCGGCATCCGGGGAACGTCCTAGTGAAGTTCATCAAGCCGGTTCGTTCCTGGATATAGCCGGATATACGATTAAAAAATACCCTTTGTCCTAGTTTACAGATGGCAATCTTACTTGTGATGTATGAATGTATAAAATACATTTGATATGACGTTGACACTTGACTGAAATTGATTTTGTATTTATTTTAAAGTAATAAAATCCATACAATGTTTTCGTGTCTATTAAACAGCTCTTACGAGAGTTGTCACGCTTTGTTCGCATCGAATAACTAAAGCTAAGACCGCACTGTGAATAAACGCCTTCTATATAAATGCACGCATTAGTGTGCGGTTTTGTATTTTCATCTGTAGTTACCTAAACCGCGAGCGTTTTAACGCATTGCGGTCTCAGCCTAAGAGCATCGGAGGTCGAGGCGCCGGGTTCTATGTATGTATTATTTGTGATATCGATGATAATTTTGTATGATAGTTAAGAGTTTAATAACATGTTGTAAGGCGTTAAATTTTACTGGTGATTATTTTATACCCTCGCCGTGTGTTGATGTAATGGTTGTTGAGATCCGGTCGCCATCTAGCGGATACACAAGATATCGTAGCTGTTTTAATTATATTTTGAAATTAACTAATCTCTTGAAATGGTCAATATAATCATTCTTAAATGTATCTAATACCTCTAAGCGAGCAATTTTTGTATATATAATTATACATAATTGGAATCTCGGAAACGGCTCCAACGATTTTTATGAAAATTAGCGGGGTTTCGGGGGAGAAACAACGATCTAGTTATATTTCATTAAAAAAAAAGTCTTAAGACCAAAAAAAAGTACGAGCAAGTCTCGGTCATCCGGGTATTTTTAATAAAATGCTATGGAATCGTTCCGGTTAACTCTATGTAATTTTTAAATGTATAAATCGATTGTGTAGTGCACTAATGATATCTATGCGCACATATAAAATAAATTATATAGCATTTACAGTTCTGAATTTCTTTATAACAAATTTCTCATAAGTTTGGACAGCTAACACGTACAGTTTAATATCACATATAATAATTGTGTTGCATAATAAATTTTAATAAAAGAACAGAAATACGAAAAGCGACCTTATTGCTAAAGTAATAGAAATTTTTGTTGTACAATATTATAGTAGCTAAACTCCATTTTCTATCAAAATCGAAATTTCTATACCTTTATGTTAGCTTTAAACATTCAATCGTAGCCTTAGGTCGTAGCCCTGGCTTAAAAGGGTGGCGAATGCCCCCATCTACTTACTGAAAGCCAGACATGTAGCACACATCAAAATATTTTGTCGATCATGACTAGAAAAAATAAATAAACATATCCTATTCAATTCAATTTAATGGCGACCTTATACACATAGGTCTTTGGTGGATAATATAACCTACGGATACCATAATGAGGCATACTTACTGGCTAAAGATTTAAAATCGGTCTGATCTTTTGAGTTTTTTGATATCAAACAAAAAGTAATATTATTGTTTACAATAAAAGTATATCTGCTTTTTTTCTTGGTTAATCCGGAACGAATGGCATTTTTTTTAATCATAATATTAAACTAACATAATAGTAAAGATAAATATTGCCTTATCCTACTAAAAGACTTTAGGGATGTCGGAATTTATCAAAGAATCGGACAGAAGGTAATACAATAGTATTTCATGTCCGCTGGATTGCGACTGAACGGTGCAAAGGAAGCACAAAACTGTCTCACAACTGATGTTAGTTACGGTCTTTGATGCAAGTCTGAAATATTATGCTATTTGCAAGTGCCAATCAAGACTTGTGAAATTTCGTAATATATATCGACCATTGACAATACGTCCCTCTTATTTAAGAAGTAATAAGGGTTAAAATCCTAAGGCATGACTGTATAGAATAATAAGAAAATTGGATACCGCCTTCGGGTCAACACACAAATATTTGATTACTACCGGGTCAATCTAGAAAACGAACTATTGTTTTGCATCTGAGTGGTACATTACCTTTTCAGATTTACTATTTACTTTTACTTCTTGTGATAGGAACAATGTAATTTTGTCTAATATTTATTGGTTTGGTCTGCGTCGACGGTAGGTTACGTCAACCCAACATTCTTTCAACAATTCGAGGTCTTAATGTCACAAATAAATAGATTTCATGTTATATATATATGACTTTATTGTATGAGTTAAGGCATATGTTTCTTTTAAAATAATGTCAGTTTTAATTACAATTACTGAATGAAAGAATCTTCATTAAGGTAATGTTTTAATTTTATAAGTCTTTCGTATTTAACAGGCGACTTGAATGGCGCAGTTTTCATTAATTATCAGTGATCAATTTAGATTGAGCTGTTTTTACTATTAAGGACATGTTATTGTGGATATGCTTTTGATACCGGGATTTTAAATGTGAACCGTTAGTATACAGTAATAAAAATTGCTTTTGTACATATTATTTGGGTACTAGACGAACTCCAGCTACTGTAATTTAAATTACCACAATTCTAATATGATATTAAATGTTCAAATCACAATCATATCCATATTAATATATTCGGTTGAGAATATCAATACCAAATAGTTCTACCTACTCCGGTCACTGGTTCATTTCGTTTGAATATTGTATTATGGCGTAATTATAGTTATCTTTATGGTTCACCATAAAAGCAAATGTCTATCTATCATTAAAATGTAATTGTCGCCGATAAAAAATGTTGTGAATAATTTTAAAATAAGTATATATGAAAATAACTAAAGATGTTGTTATGCACTGTACTGTTTAAACCTCAAGTTTGCGATTACGACACATTTACCAAAACTATTTGCTTATGGCAGTAAGTAACAACATGCTTAATAATAAAATTTTAGTCACAGCGATCCAAGCCTTAAATGTACCACATAATAAAGTCGAGACTTGCATTAAAGACAGATCGATTGCGTATTGTATATTTTTTTTTGTAATTTATTAGTAAAAAACTTGAGGGGATTGTTGTTAATTGCATATATTTTATATTGTAAATGTAACGACGGCTCGGAGTAACGATAAGTTCCATTGTGGAAGTGAAAAACTTGTTTGTGACCAATGAA